GAGAGAGAGAGAGAAAGAGAGAAAATAAAAGCTCCAGTTGAATAAACCCTGGGGTTGGGTACTTACGCAGGTGCCTGCCTACCTACATATGCGCCCACTACGAAAGATACCAGGACCAAAAACGAACGGTCGATGGTGCCGGCATGGTCAGTCTTAAAGCGGTCCATACCCCTTTCCTGCCAGAACGGCGAAGGGGATTGATTCATTCATTCCAAGGATCAATTCATATCTCGCGGCACCACTTGGCCATGACACCACTCAGACCAGCCACACTTCCGGTAATCTCCTCGAGTCCGATGTCCATCTTCCACATTCGACCTCCGGCTCCCAAGTCCCTGCCACCGCCCCCGCCTATTGCTGCAGGAACCAGCAGCCCGTATTCTGCCAGCCTCTCCCAAGCTCCCAGGGCAACTTCTCGGCCCCATAACCTTGCGCTGGCTCCGAGGGCCATGACTCCGGTGCTAGAGGTTTGGATCTTGTATCGAGACGTCAGCGAACTGTATTCATCATAGGCCATCGCGAAGTTGCACGTGTCGGTATCCAAGATGATATCGAGTCGTGCAGCAGCGACGAGAATTCCAAGCTCGAGCTCAGACAGTCCTTGGAGGATTTGAAGTTTCGAGTCCGGGGCGGACAAGGTATTTGCGAACAGGCTGCCGGTGAGAGGTATGTCCTCTGCTGACAGTTTCGCAATGGGCATGATACACGATGTGAAGAATGCCGGTGCGGACTTGGTTCGATAGAATTCTGATTGTACGTGAAACTTGAAGAGGGCGTCGTTTTGGTACAGGTCCTAAAAGATGTCAGCATTGCGGCCGAAGAATACTTAGTAATTCCCCACCTCGATCATTGATCGCCAAAACGAGGCGAAATCCCCCTGGCCGGACTTCCCGAAACCAGAGCTCTCGTCATCAAGCTCCTCCGTCTCAATGCAGAGGCCTCCTTTGCAAATTTCCCAGAATGCTGGAAGGCTTCGAGGCAATGAGAGGTATACGTATCGATGACTAAAGCGGCTTTTGACCCTTTTCTCGAGGCTCTCAACAACATCAACCTTTGTTGTCAGCCCCAACACTGCGATTGGGGCCTTCCTCGCTTGTGCGATATCGAACAGGTTGTAGAGAAGGGTCTGGCGTGGATGTGTTGTGAAGAGGTCAAATTCATCCAGGATGAAAATAACGGACTTGGCAGTCTGCCCTGGCTGGGCTTCAGAGATTTCGCTCGGGTGGGAGAGAAGAGCCAAGAGAGAAGAAAGGGTATCAGCGTAATTGCTTGTCTTCAAAACCATCAGCAGCTTTCAGGGAGCGGGGTCTCAGAGGATTCTACCTTGCTAGCAATATCGTCCTCCAGCTCCATCTCGCGGCCCAACTGCCTCCATGTCTCTTTTAACGCAAGTTTATCGTCAGTATGGATGAACCCATTCAGTCGTACAACATGAAATTTTTCCCTGTGGTCCATGGAGAGGTCTGAAATTACAGATTCGACCAGCTAGAACAATCAGTTATGGCCAACAATAGCCTGAGCGATATTGAACATACCGTCGTTTTCCCACAGCCTCTGGCTCCTATTACAAGCATGGAATTCCCTTCTCCCGCCAAGACTGTCTGCTCGACTACTTGATGAACTTTCTGCATTTCCTCATCATGACCTCGTAATTTGATCCGCCTCTGGCCAGTCAATTTGCCCAACAGTACGCGCTGACATTGTTCTAGGTGCTTCGCAAGCCAGTCACTCTGCGGAGTCTTGCGCTTTACTTTCTTTGGTGATTCTTTGCTTAGTCGTGTTGGTATACTCAATTTCTCAACTTCGGGACCACAATTCCTGCAGAAAAAGTCCCCGTCGGGAACCTTTGCAAGCTTATAGCATTCCTGGTGAACCGCAAATTCGCAATCCTTTCCGTCGCATAATATGATGGGGTTCTCCTCTGTAGACCGTAGCCCGGAGCATAGTGAGCACATCTCGCCGTCTTCCTCGTCAGATTCGACTTCTTCTGTTGCTGCTTGTGCATCCTCTAACTCATGCCCTCCTCCCTCCTCCACAGAACTTTCTGCGGCCAGGAATGGTTTCTGGGACTTCTGAGTCGGAAATTTACTAGTGCCTCGAATCGACTGCTTCGGTGGGACCGATGCGACAGACTTTGGAAGGTCCTTGAAGCCCAGATCCATTTCAGTATCAGCATCGAAAGCCACGCTCTTCCTGCCACTCGCAGCTCGTTGATTTGCAGGGCTAAGTATTCCTTTCGGCGACTGTATCGTCGCGCCCATCTCAGCTAATCGTGTCTTCAGTGGCCGTCCCATTTTTTTGGCGGCAGAGGCTCTTGCAGCGGGAGGAGCTGGTTCTCCTGCAGCCGGTTCCGCCGATGGGATCTGGCTCATTCGTTTCCTAGTGGGCGTAGCTGCGATTTCCGCCTCTTCTTCCTCGTCACTGACGCCATCATCCCCTGCTGTCATCATCTTCTCTCGAACGGCCTGTCTGGACAACATCTTTGCCTGTTTCAAAATGTCTGATTTCCGAGGTCTTCCTCGCCCCGATGAACGTTGCTGAGGGCTTGGTTTCGCAGTTGGCACCAGCAGAGCCTGGCCCTTCTCCGCCGTTGTTGTTGCATTTCTACCAATTCCTCTTGTTGGCGCAATGATCCCCTCCGTATTGCCTGAGATGGCCCTGTCCAGCTTTGATTTCGCACTGCCGCTCTGTCTCCCAGGCTTCGCGCTCGACGGTGTCGTCTTGGGGATTGCTTTGGCAGTTGCGCCTGGTCTCGAGCGCTCCGAACCAGGCCTCCGCACCGAAGTCGCCTCTTCCGGATCCGAGACCTCCACCTCCCAGATATCTTTGGCGTTCCTGCAATTCGTGCCGACCTCGTTGTTACTGTCGCCGGCAAGCTCGTCCTTCTCATCCTCTTCAGGCAAGTTCTCCTGGCCATTCTTTCCCAGACCGACGGGCCCCGCAGGGCTTCGAGGTGCCCGCTTAACATGCCCGCCTCTGCTTGCGGGAGATGAGCGGTAGGTGTTGAGTTTCCTTTTCTTGGTGCTCAACAATGGAACATCATCTTTCTTGGGAGCCAGCTCGTCCGGCTCCTGAAGTAGCGCCCTGCTGCGCTTACGTGCAACTGCAGGGGGAGGCATTCTGCAATGCGATGCGATGGGATGGGATGCGGTGAGATGAGATGCGATGCGAAACGGAGCCTGATCCCAGGGTCACGGATTTCGAGAGTTTCGTGCCATGCCGTGTGTTTGTTGTAGTTCTGGTGTTTGTTGATTGAGGCAAGGCTGAACGCGACCGCCAAGAAGGCTGGTGTAGAGGTAGCGTGGGTGTGGGCGTAGCACCTACCATTATATACTTAGCGCGCGTCTAACAGGTCTCTCAAGCCCACTCTTCAGCCTATCCTCAATCTCCAGTCTCCCAAATCAACCACCAACGAAAGAAAATTCAAATCCAAAGCCCTACAATCAAACCTCCAAAATATTTTCGAAGTCAAAACCTGCAAGCTTCACGTCATATTTTCATATGACAACCTACAAATTGCAATATCAAAATATACAAATTGCAATATCAAAATATCAAGCAAGTTCTCTATTGAAAACTCACCGTCAAACCTTTCATGACATTTATCGCGCTGAAGGGGCTATTGCTATAGATCAAATGCTCGAAGAACAGCTAGCTACATCGCACTTCCAAGACTACTACCATAGATCAAATAGTCCAAGACCAACGAGCTAAATTCCATTCTAAAAGACTACCACTACACAAACTATCATACCGCAAAAGTCCGAAAATCCTCACCCCCCCCGCAAGCAAACCACGGGGTAACTCTCACTCAGCCTTGCAGCCAGGCTGAACGAAGCCTGAAATCACGACCAAGTAAAAGCAAGTCGTACTGTAGAGTCCCGGAAACAGTCGTCCCATACGGTTTAACGTCCCTCCTCTCTCCTGACCTAAAATCCCAAACCATATTTCTCACACTGCACGGTACGTAAGGTGACGATGTACGGGCGGGCGTGCGTGCGTACCTACCTACCGTAGTACCTACCTACCTAGTTAGTAGTAGCTTTCCAGCGACGCCGCCGCCGCCGCGGAAAACCTTACCCCGTACAGCACCGGGACGTACCCCATCTCTCTCGCAGCGGGCAGGGCAGGGGCCGGAAGCGTGTCGTTTCAGCCTTTGGGGGGGGGGGGGGGGGCCGCCGCCGGGCTGGATCCATCAGCCAGTCAACTCGAGCTTGACATCATGTTGCGACGTATAACTACGTACGGTACATACCACGGCATCGCGTCGTAAAGCTTGGAAAGTACGGTACAGGTTTAGTGGTACTTCGTACATTCTCTTTACATAATGTTCAAGTGGGAATGTCGAGGAGAAGCCTCGGGAGGCGGAAAGCAAGCAAGCAAGCGCGCAAGCAAGCAAGCCTTACCTAAGTACCTACCGTACTCCTTACACCGACAACGACGACCCGTCACGCTTCGAAGCGAAGCGAGGCGAGGCGAGGTCCCCCTAGCCTGGCCTGGCCCCACCTGGAGTGCTTGCCTGCCTTGCCCTGCCTGACTGTGCTCGCGGAGAAAGAAAGAAACAAACAAACAAACAAACAAACAAAAGAAAGAAAAGAGACCTCGTGACCTCACCAACCTCGTATTCCCACCCTCCAAATCCATACCTCCCTTACCGCCCTACGTAACAGCTACAGCTACGGATAGGTAGGTAGGTAGTCGCACACCCGGTAAACACTCTGCTCTTTGCTTCCTACGTACCACTGACTGTGACTGTGACTGTGACTGCAGCCCGAGAAGCCCGCTGTACAGTACAGGAGAAATCGAGAGAAGGGAAGATATATATATATATTTTTTTTCTTTTCTTTCTTTTTTCCCGCCTTACTTACTCACTCTCCTCACTCTCCTCACTCTCCTCACTCTCCTCATTACTGATTATACTCGACCAAATCCACATCCAAATCCAAATCCACATCCACATCCACATCCACATCCAAACCCAAATCCAATACATATATGAACCACAAATACAATCCATGATCATCACCATCACCACCACCATCACTATCACCAGCTAACTAACGCCTTCTCTCTTCTCTCTCCCGCTTTTCCTCTTTCCTCTTTCCTCTTTCCTCTTTCCTCTTTCCTCTTTCCTCTTTCCTCTTTCCTCTTCCTTCCTCCTCTAACCCACCCACCCACTCACTCACACCACCCACCCATCTACTAACCCACCTCCCCCCTCCCACCTCCCCCTCCCCCTCCCCCCTCCCCCTCCAAAACGCCTCAAGGTACCTGTACCTGTACCTGTACCTGTACCACCGCTACCGGCACCGCTACCGGCACCGGCACCGCCCACCTAACCGTCGGTTATCCGTTCCCCTGCCCCTCCACCCCCCACATACGCCCCACATACGCCCCACATACGCCCCACCCCCACTTCCATTTCCATTTCCATTTCCACCCACTTCCACACCCATAACCCACACCTACCTACCCACACACCTACCTACCTACCCTCTCACGCACTCACACACACACTCACTCACCCACTCACTCACTCACTCACTCACTCAAGCCCCCCTGGTCTGCTCGGGTCTGCTCTGGTTGGTCTGATCTGATCTGCTCTGCTCTGCTCTGATCTGATCTGATCGAGACCCGGAGAATGTGGGGGAGCGAGCCCGTTTGAAGTTTGAATCACATGATAAGAAGGGAAGGGAGAGAAGCGGACCGATGTACTACTACGTAGCGTGAGGTGTGTGTGTGTGGCATGTGTGTGGCATGTGTGGTGTGGCATGTGTGGCATGTGATAATACCGCACACGTACCCTACCTACCCTACCTACCTACACACACTCGGCTCCCTTGCTCATCCATCGTTCATCAGAGCCGTGCTCAGCTCCCAACGGCGAAGGAGGAGGATGAAGAAGAAGAAGGAGGAAGGCGCGGAGGAGGGGCGGTGGAGAATAGAGATAAGGTGGTAGATTTTCCATTACTTAATTCCGCTTCCTGGCGAGGAGGCAGTGTCGCCATCTACTACGTACAACAATTATCATACCCAGAACGCTGAACGCTGAACGCTGAACGCCGAGCCGCGAGGACCCTTGTCGTCCGACCCATCCCCATCCTCGGCCTCCCAGACCCATCCGTCCATCCGTCTATAGAAGCAAAAAAAAACACTTGAGTGGGACTTGCAAGCCTGTGGCTCAGCCCTAAAAAACGTGAAACCCCCAACCCCATAGCGTGCGCTGAGAAGCGACCATGAAAGGGGGCGGGGGGCGGGGGGAAAAAAGAGGTCTATACTGCGCGCAGGCTCATCTATATGCAGGCACCGTGGGAAACGGCCAGATAATAGTAAAAAAAATCTAGGCGATGTAGGCCGTAAGTGGGGAGCTCATGTCGTTGCCAGCACGACTTGGGCGTCGTGGGGTTGAGGTCGAGTCAACTATTATCCAAGTCGCGTTGCCGGTCGGGGTGTGGAGGGCCCGGGCGTCCTCCCGCGGCCATCCTCCTCCTCCTCCTCCTCCTCCTCCACCTATCTGTCCATCAGCAGGTCTCCTCCGACCACGGAGCCCGTCGCGCTGCTCTGCCCGCTGGTGCTGAAGCCGTTCTCGCCCGTGCTGAGCAGATCCTGCACCGCCACCTTGGGTACCTGAGGCACCGGGAGTTTCCTCTGGGTGCCGTCGGTCTTGGACATGATGTCGCTGATGGAGAGCCCGGTGCGGGGGGCCGACGTGGCGGGGCCGTTCGGGTGGTACGGCCCTTCGACGTTCTGGGGCTCCATGGGGGCCAGCGCGGGCGTGTGTTGCAGGGTGAGGTTGCGGATGGTGGGCAGGTCGTAGCCCCCACCGTACGGTCGCAGGCGGGGCGAGTGCGCGGGGGTCGCGAGCGGGGTGTGATCGGGCGTGGGGGAGAGCGAGTCGTGCGAGAAGGTAGGAGACGAGGGGGCGGTGCTGTTGGGCGAGTTGGGCCGGGAGCGCTTGGCGTGCCGGTGGGCGTAGTGGTCGTCGTCGTCGTGGGAATGCGCGCGCGACATGGCGTAGACCGATAGCGAGGGGAGGTGGTTGCGGCTGCTGTGGGCGCTGTGGCTGTAGTAGGGGGGGTGCCTCGCGCTGCTGCTGCTGCTGCTGCTGGTGCTGCTGCCGGGCGGCGGGTGATGCGTGGTGGTGGGAGGAAAGTTGCTGCTCTCCCGCTCGACCTGGGTGGCCGCCGTCGCCAGCAGGTTGATGTCGAGCGCGGATCCGTTCTGCGGGCTTCCGCCTCCCAGGCTGCGGCCGAATGGCGGCGGGTGGGGATGGGGGTTGAGACCCGAGGAGGGGATCGGCGTCGAGTAGGAAGAGAACGAGTGCGGAGGGGACACGTTGGGCGACCCGACGGTGGAGGTGGGCGCCGATCGCGACGACACGGTCTTGCTCGGCGGCGGCATCATCCCCAGGGCCATGCTCATGCTGCTGCTGCTGCTGCTGCTGCTGCTGTTACTGCTGCTGCTGTTACTGTTACTGCTGCCTCCGGCCGCGTGCTGCGGCTGCGGCTGGGGCGGGGGCGGCGGCGGCGGTTGCTCGACGATGCTGGCGGTGAGCATCTTGTTACTCCTCCTCGAGTTGGGATTGTTGTGTATCCTCGAGTGCCGGGTCAGCTCGTCGGATCGGGAGAAGCGTTTCGTGCAGCCGGGGAACTGGCAGGCGTGCGGCTTCTCGCCCGTGTGCGTCCGGATGTGCCTGGTTTGATGCTCGAGGCGGTGGAAGGCCTTGTCGCAGAGCGGGCACTTGTAGGGACGCGGGAGATCCTGCCTCTCTTCGTGGGCGGCCAGCATGCCGGCGCCTCGCATCATGGCGACGGCAGCCATCTCTTCTTCGTGCTGTCGGCGCTGGCCCTCCTGAATCTCGGCCAGCTTTCTCCGGGCCGCCTCCTGCTCTCGTTCCAGGGGCGTCTGCGGGTTCAGTAGAAGATCTACTGAAGCCGGCGATCGCTGCATGTGAATGTCCGCTGCGGCTTGGGGGGAGTGGGGGGGGGGGGGGGGGGGTTGAGGGTGAGGATGAGGATGAAGATGAGGATGAGATGACGATGAGGATGAGATGAGAATGATGATGTTGAATGGTAAATATGGATGGAGATGGGAGGGTGTTGCGAGTTGCGAGTTGTGAGTTGTGGGTTGTGGGTTGTGGGTTGTGGGTTGTGAGTTGTTGTGGGTTACGAGTGGATGAGTGGTGCGAGGTCGGTAGTTGGTGTGGTTGGTGGTTGGTGGTTGGTGGTCGGTGGAGGATGGAAGGTGGGGTGGGGAAGCGAGCGTACTTTTTTTTTTTTTTTTTTTTTTTTCTTTTTTTCCTTCCTTC